GACTCGTTTCACTGCGACAAAAACTCTTTTAATTTAATAAAGAGCAAACACGTGATTCGACGAAATTCAGCTTTCTGATGAACAAGTGCCGTAGCTTTGGCACGTGGACGTAACTTGTTCTCTTAGTGTTTGGGTTCATGCCCATCAACAATTCAATCATACGCTTTTTCTGCCAATACAATACAATACAATACAGTTTATTTTACGTCGGTAACGTAGGGGGTGGTTACCCAATCCCCCGAGCCTAATGGCTCAAGTTGAAAACGCTCGACATATAAAATACAGATGTGTATATAAATATATGTACAAGTTAAATATATGCATATCTGACGAAAAAAACGCAAAAATATCACCTAGCCCCCTACCCCTAACCCTAATCCTGAACTTCCCCTGAAACCCTACCAGCCCTAATCACCTAACTTGTAGCCCTAACCCTGAAGCCTAATTACCAATTCATAACCCAACCCCTACAATTGTATACTAATACACTTATTACACTTACAGCCAAGCGTAGTTATGCAAGATAGGCCAGTCCTTAATTCTGCTAGAGTAGTTACCGATTTAACTGAAGATGGTAGCTGGTTCCAGGAATGAGAGATAATATATGAAAAAGAGCTATGAATATGGCTAGAGGTATTTACAGGCTGGGAAACATTAAGAGCAGAGGAGCGCAATTTGTTGTGACAGACAAAACTTTACTTTCCAAAACTTTCCTTTCTTTTTAACATGCAATTATAACTTAGGACACCAAAGGAGAACACTGTAAGTATTATGGAGTTTTGCAAACGCGCTCATTATTGTGCCATTTTGATTTTCAGCTGAAAGCCGAGTACTTTTCGCTGCTGTCATCGCTCTTTCTGTCATCGTGTTTTTCTCTCTTATTGTGAATGGTATCCTGATATGGCGGTTAAGACGAGCCGAGCCTAACAATAGAACAACCATAGTAAATAGTGGTATCCCTGTCCCACCTGGTGTTCATCAAGCGTCAGAACCTGGTGTTTATATGGAGCTGCAACCCAGGCTTTCTGACGGGCAGTCACGTGAACCACCTGAATACCAGTCACTGGACGACAGACGAGTGACCCAAGATTACTACAATATGGGAGTTCCGGAAGGAAGCTTGGACGAGAGGGGAGTAGTTTATGAAAATTTGGAGTAAAATGGGAGTGTCCTCCACTTGAAAAAAGGTGCGGATCATCGATATAGCCCTTCATATCAACAAGACCCGTGGTTTTGATTAAGTGATATTTTCTTTATCAACTCAGTTGATAACACTTAATTACCCTGATATTACATCTTGTTTGTTGCAGTATTGTATTGTTGTTACATCACTACACGTGTTGATTTTTTTTCTCAGTTTGAAATGAAAATGATATCCTTTGATGCCACAAACACAATACTTACTGAATCAGCAGGAGTTATATAATTTTCCTAAAAGTATGTCCTGTTAATGTCATTTGTAGTAGAAAGCTGTTCTAGTTGAGGTAAGCTAGAGTAAAATTTTAGCACTTCATCGCTTCTATACCGACCAACGCCGATTATATTTTCAAATCTTTATTTAAATGATTATTACAGGTTTTCGAAGTAATTTTCGGTGGAATTGTAAGGTATATTTAAACGTTGTTCGACGCTCGATAAATTATCGTCTTTGTAGCAAGTTAGTAAAAACAGCGAACAAAGGCCGCGAGACAGTTACGTGAAGGACGTGCGAGGACAGAAGCAAATGGCTTCGCTCCCTTAACGCGGGTGTGCGCACGTGTGAATCGCGCACCTTGTTAGCCTGAGAAACGCAAACAATTAAGGATTGATTCATTGCGATTTCAAGCTGTAACTGAGCGATAAACTGGAAAAGGATAGTCTTAAATTAATGGTTGCTCTCAAGAAGGTCAGTTTTTGCATAAGAAGCGAAGGTTTTGTTCAGAAGAGAGGGAAAGCCACGATTCTACGAGGTAGACATGAAATGAGTGAAAGCGGCGAGCCTAAAGTTCAGTCAACGATGATATAAATAGTTAATTTTGGCAACAAAATCTCAGTTCATTGACTTATTTGTATTTTATTTAAACTTACCCTTAGTTTGATTGTCCACCAGGCAGTTTCAAGGGCTTCAAAACCCACAAGAGCGAAAACGAATTTTTCGTCAGAATGATTCATGGCGTGTTCATGCCTCGAGGGACTGTTTGGACTGAATGTTCATAATTAACTTGAATATGTATTAGCATCAGGTAAATGAATACAATAAACCTAAATTTATTAATTTATTTTGTCACATTCCCTTACATGCTTTGGAAAGGATTTTTTTAAAAAATAGCTTGAAATCGATTAATAAGAAAAAAAAATTATTTACAACCCCGACTGAGATGAGCGTTTAACATTATTACATTTGAAATGTTAACGTGACTGTGGGAATTTTGCAATGAAATTCTTTTTTCACATAAAGGATATGAATCACAAGAACTTTGCCATATTGCAAAGACATATTGCAGCCACAGAAAACGTGTAGCAATATAGAAAAAAGGCTGGTTATATTATCTAATTCTTGTATATGTATTAGTACTGTAGTTTTTCATTTACTCACTGAGAATTTGAAAAAAGACCACGCTCATGTCTTAAGCCAAGATATCGCTTGCACTGCGAGAACGCTGATGCTGAGTGAACGTTGGTGGATACGTCCGAACCTTTATGCACGTTTTCTGGCCCAGACCTCCTTCTTTTTGTGACACATTTTGCGATGTTTTTTGCCCATTTCCTTACGAATAATTTTATAAGTAACTGTCCCACTTTTTATGATTCCTCATATGGAGGGAACTTGATAAGCGCAAAATCGAAGGGCTAGGGAGGGTATGGTCAAGTACAGGTGAAATACATAGTATGTCATGCAGCACATTAGAGCTGCGCTACCTTTCCCCCCTAGAAAAATATCAGCTTGACAAAAATAGCCCCCTAACTTTTTCTGAAGGATGATTTTGTCTGTTACATTCACTGTTCTAAACATTCCAATTTTATTGCCTGTATGGTAATCACCATTTAAGGGAAGTGGCCTATGATATATTGGCCCTAACTCTTAAGATGGAAAATGCGTTGAATCATGATTACAAAACCAACAATGGTTGTACTTTGATGGCGATTGATACGAACATGATGACATTTAGATGATAACGTAATACGTTTAGCTTAACTTCCCAAACTAAACACTCTTATCAAAAGGCTCATATAAAAATCCTTACGAAAATGGCTGTTAATTATGCAAGAATAGTGAAAACATTATAAACAGGATTATTGAGCACCTCATGAAGTATAAAAGTGAGTTAAACTGGGAGAGAAATTAAGCTGGAGAATGCAAAATTAAGCAAGTTCGTTTTAATCACATTAATGGAAATTGAATGCTATTTTATTTTGTTTACAAATGAAAATACGCAGATACAAGTCTTCAAATCATATCAGTTATAGATATATGTGATGTAATAAGGGATAACGGGAGTCAAACAAGAATAGAAGTAGAAATAAATTGGGATATATATAAACGATGCCTACCAAGAGGAAGCGAAAGTCGTTCCTGGAGTGCTCGGGTGAGAAGAGGATTACGTGCCAAGGAAAACGATAAATAAATCTCCATTCACTTATAACACCATCACGCAACTCATCAGAATCCTTGGTTCTTGGAGTGAGGACAAGGATGAGAAATGAAGGTAGCAACGGTAAAGAATACGAAATGCGTGCACACTGTTTACGTTGACAGACTAAAATCTCTTCAGTTGTCTTATCTTCTTATCTTTTATGGACCTCGATGTTCTACATGGCTAACCTACAGTACTAAAGACGATTCTGCGTTTAAAATAGCCTTCAAACGCAAATGGATCAATTTTGGCTACCCGGGCGCCAGTTTCCCGTGTAAAATTTCTAAATAAAAAAGGAAATTAGTGATAGTCATTCAATACTCCGGGAAAAGGTTCCACAGGTTTTATATATTCATTCATTCATTCATGCATTTCTCTATATTTACATTTTGTAGGATAACCGTTCTATTTTGGCGGCATTTCTCAAGCCAACTGCTTTCAATTTTACTTTGAAATTTACCTCGTTTATCAATGCTGGTGTGGAATACTTAAAACAATGAAAAGCGAAACGGATACGAAATGAGTTTCTTGCAAGATTCTATTCGCTTTAATGACGGAAATAAAAACTGCACTTGTATTAGAAGATCAACTTTATCTTCACCAATACGATTTCTCACAGAAAGACGTAATAATCCACAAAACATAACATATGCTTGGGAAGCTAGGTTATGTAAAATATTTATTTATGTATTTATTTATTTATAACAACTTTATTTAATAATTTAATAACATATATTTAATAACATATATAATATAAACTATTGTAAACGATACCCCAAATATTTTATACTATGCAATATAAATATACACACTGAAACATTTTAAATACAAGCATATATCTATATAAGTATAAAATCTAAGTAAAGAAGACATATCGAAGATAAAAATTCTGTTGAAACGATGAATAATTAAATGATGTATAATATATAGAATAATTTAATTTTGTACTCATAGGCCTAGTTAAATAATGTTTATTTTGGAGCTTTCTTAAAAGTATTCATTGAGTCAAGTTCAACTACTGATGACTGTAAACTGTTCCATGTGTCGATATATCTGTGCCAAAAAGAATACTTTAAGATATCTGTACGGCAAAATGGTTTATAGAGTTTAAACTGATGACTTTTTCTTGATTACCTGTTACTGAAAGATATGTAATCATTAGTGTTTCCGGAAGAGTTTCCTTTAATGAACTTAAAAAGCTGAACCAAGCTAAGATACTCTCTGCGTTGAACTAGCGTCGGTAGTTTCAAGGATTTCAGTCGGTCTTCATACAGAATGTCTTTACCAACGATCCATCTTGTAACGTTCCTTTGCACGCATTCAAGTTTTTCAATCAAATGTGCTTGGTGAGGATTCCACGCTTGACAGGCGTACTCGGGTATTGGACGGATCATGGCTTTATAACCAGTAAAAAGAGCCTTAGAGTGAGTTCCAAATGTCCGCTTGAGAAAGCCCAATAGTCTGTTCGATCTTGCAACAACAGGCAGTACGTGGGGTTTCCAAAATAAATCATCGGAAAGAACCACTCCAAGATGTTTGTGTGTAAATACTTGGTTAAGTAGCTTGCTATTAATAGTGTAGCTACACGAAGAGGGAGTTTTAGCCTTGGTGAACTTCGTGGACTCGCATTTGTCAGCATTTGTTCTTAAAAGCCATGAGCCACACCGATCAGTGACTTTATCTAGACTCTCCTGGGCAGTGATGGACGTTTGAGATGGAGGGCAGTAATTATAGATTAACATATCATCAGCAAACATGTCTGCAGGACTTGATAAAAATTCAGGGATGTCATTGACATACAGGATGAATAACAGGGGGGCAAGAATGTTCCCCTATGGAACACTAAATATGACAGGCGCCCAGTCAGATTGGCAACCCTCGATTACGACACGTCGAGATCGACCTTGGAAAAGATTGGATAGCCAGGAAAGTAGAGAGCCGGTAATGCCAAAGCATTCTAGTTTGAGTAGAAGACGGTCGTGAGGAACCGAATCGAAGGCCCTTTCAAAGTCCAGAAATATCACATCGGTGGTAGAGAGTCGTTTATCTAGTGCTTTAGCCCATTCATGGAAAAGGTGTATCAACTGAGAGGTACAAGAGTAGCCAGGACGAAAGTAGATTATTTGATTCAATAAGTCGCTGATGATGTGCGGCTGCCATTGAGCTACAAGGTACCAGTCAACATTCGGTAGATTAAAATCCCCAAGCAAAAGGACATTAGACGATGGTAGAAATTTTTCTAGTGATTGGACCAGTTTAATTAGGGGACCATATCACTGATAGAGGAGCGGTGGTATACTCCAATAAAGTACGTTGAGCAGGGATTGAAATGGACCTCACTCCAAAGGAATTCACAGTCCGTTTCGAGGTCACAACGTCTATAACAGTAAATGTTATCCCCTAGAGCTAAAAAAAACCACCACCTTTTCCTAGGCGATCTCTTCGGTAGATATTATAATCAGGTGACCGGATTTCTTGATCCATTATATCAGGGTTCAACCATGCATGTTTCGGTTACAGCGATGATGTCTAATTCCTTTGTAGC